TCTGATCTTAATATAACAAACTTTTATACGGTTACTCTTTAGGTAATATAGGTTCTTGTAGACTAATGTATCACTGCCGTATTTATACATACTTGAAATATGTTTGTTCGTGAAACAAAATTTATATTTCATTACATTTTTATGTATAACTAGCTTTTGTCGCGACTTCGTCGGCGTGGAATTTAACTTTATTTTTCTAAAATAAAAGTTGCCTAAGTTACTCCTTATTACGTCAGCTACCTGCCAAAAAAAGTCTCGTCAAAATCGGTCTAGCCATTTCCGAGATTAGCCGAAACAAACAGACAGACAGACAGACAGACAAACAAAAATTGTAAAAAAATGTTATTTTGGTATATGTACCGTATTTATATTCATATGCATGCAGTAAAAAACGGTTATTTCAATATTACAAACAGACACTCCAATTTTATTTACATATATGTATAAATAAAAGATAGGTATGAATTTACGAAAAAAATGTCTATGTATTTGTATCAGTTGTCTAGTCAAGCTTAAGGTTAGGTCTAAATGGCGCTGTGTGAATTGTCCTGAGATTATTTATTATAATTATTATTATTATACATCTTACTTTCCTATACTCTGGTCGCGGGTTCGACTCCGTCGCACGGCACAAACATTTGTATTCATGAGTATGATTGTTTGTATCGATCTGGGTGTTTTCTATGTATAATACGTATGTATTTATAAAATCTATGTATCATTACAAAATCTATGTATTTGTATCAGTTATCTAGCATTCATAACACAAGCTTCAGTTCGATTAACTTGGATCTTCATAGCGCCGTGTGAATTATGATATTATTATACTTATTCCTACATAAAGTTTCGTAAACAAAGTCGGGGCGGGCCAATAGTAAAGATTAAATATATAAACATGAAAGTAACTTATGACATATAGATTACAGAAAGCACTAAGAGTTTTTCGTAACAAAATTTTAATATGCCTTTGCATTCTCAAAACGTAAATTTCTCCAAAGATTAACTTCTTAATCTAATTTATTGGAGCTCGCATTAAATTTGAAATTTAAAGCGATTGGATATCTCATTTAGATATTAAGGTATACGCACAAGGTTTTTCTTAATGAATTATTAAGGTGGGTGCTATACGCCTTAAAAATAATCTTATTTATTTATTTAACTTTAATGCACAAAAACAAAGTATATATGGCGGACTTCATACCTTGAGGCGTTATCTACCAGGCAACCATGAGTGGTGCAGAGAAAGATTGTTGGCGGTGCACTAATATAAATGAGAAATGTACAAAAAAGATATATAAATATAAAGCAAAATATTTTAAATATAATTTTCTATAAAAAAAATAACATAAATATATATATAAAATCTTCCTGCTATCGCTAATACAGTTACGCTGGTGGGGCACCACTGAAGGAATATAGGATTGTGAAGAATCAGTTATTATATACTGTGGAGAATTCAGCAAGAATTAATCACGATGGTGAAAGGGGATGAAATGGGGTTAGTAAAATGGTCTGATGACCTCATTGATGACAATGTTATCTGATTGAACAGAGATTAAGTGCGTAGCGGTTTCTATGTTGATTGTCGCATGCCTAATCATTGATAATGTAAATCTAATTAAAACAATATTTATTTAAAAGAGCTACACACATGTTTCTTGCTCATTATTCTTGTGATGAGTCTGCTTTCCGAATGAGCGGTAGAATAAAAAAAACTGTGACTATTCAAAAGTGCTTATATTAAGATTATTTGAATAAAGATTATTTCTATTTCTATTTCATTGCCAACAATGTACTATGTCAGTTTGACCTCCACACACCCCAGCGAAACCATCGTGATAAGTTCCTTGTGAATTTGCCACGATGGGCTAACTGACCTGACTTCATGTTTATCTTATCATCCTCCACTGGTGTCCCGCCAGCGTAAACCGTTAGCGCAAGCGGAGGCATCATTCCATTATCATTTACAAAAAAATCACGAATTTTACGTGAAAACGAAACGTGAAATGGCTGAAACCTTTTGAGTATGAAAGCTGTGAAATACTAGTACTATTAATATCTCACTCTCTCTCTCTCTTACACACATACACACACAGACACATACAATACATACACACACAACACACACTGCAAGTAACTAATGACCTGTTAAGTTTAAGTGATATCTATTTTGATTCTTTTTGTTGTGTTTTCAGTCAATTGTAATTACAATAATTGTAAATTGTAAAGGGACCTAAATTGTAAATTGTAAGGGTTTCAACTTAGTTTAGGTGTTAGGGTACAATGAAAATATTAATTAAAAATAAATGATTAATATTATAAATTATTATTATTATTACGGCACAAGAGCATCGTCGGCACGAACCGTCAGGTCAGTACCTGTAGGTCTACCACGAAAGTTACTGCCGATTATCGCGTAACGAAACGAAAGACGACCGAAATACTAGTCCAAAGGAACCATGAAGTTTCTTCGGAATAAGATATTTCGGACGCTGATATTGTAAGCACGGGTTTAGTTAAGATGCTTAGAAAGTTGCCCACTTTATTTGCTGTTTATTAAGAAATAATTCAATATACTTTATAATAAGTTCGCCTTTTGAACGGCTCGTCTTTAATTTGCAGTCCAAGTTAGAACTTCAAGTTGATTCAGTGCCCTACAATTACGGACAATTTTACTTTTGAAAGTATTTCGTAGAAAATTCATTGATCTAATGGTAGAATATAAACTAGTTACTTGCCTCGACTTCGGGTTTGTGAGTTATTGAAGTAGAATTACAATAGACCTAATGTTTTCTTTGCATTCTGACTACATAATGATGAAAGCCGAGTAATTTGGTTATTTTTGTTTTTACAAGATTAATATATATTTTATATATACTTGAAGATAACATTTTGTAGGTACCCCTTTTTATAAGAATTGCGCGGACGGAGAAATATGAAATTTCGTACATTTATAGTTTATACATTCCGTGTGTAAAATGTTAATATTCTTTTAAAATTATACTTAAAAATATATTAAATCAATAAAGTAAACTCACAATAACACAAGCTCTGCTTAGCTTAGGAATAGATGGCGTTGTGTGATTTATCCTGATATATTATTATATTACTTACTAAAATGTAACTGTATATTAAGAGAAAGTATATTTACTTTTTGAGTTCATCTATTGAAACCAATGTTAATCTTAATAATTTTATGAACGCGAAAATTTGTAAGTGTGAATGTTTGTTACACTTTCAAGCAAAAACTACTGAACGGATTTTGATGAAACTTTACAGTAATATAGCTTTCCTATGCATTAGAATAACACATATATTGAAATAAGGCTATATTTTCTATATACTGAATTTAACGCGAGTGAAACCGCGGGCACAGCTAGTATACAATAAACCTAAACTATCTTAGTTATAACATAGAAAACGATTGTCTCAATGCATTTTTTCTCCCTTCCGCGAGAAATTTCATACAAACCTTAAAAAAATAATAAAAAAAAGTATAAGCCCAATAGGTACAGCTGTTCTGAAGTTATATATATATAAGTATTTTCGTTAATAGATTTCCGTTTACATAGATATACGTTGCTAATATGAAATGAGCCTAATGTTCTAAACTAGAAGGTTTAATACTGAAGATTTTTTTATCTTAATGGCATAAATATTTTCGTCGAAACGTTGTTGTTATTAGATGAACTTTATGTTTTACTACATAAGGTTTATTATCGAAGGATGTAGTAATGAAAATATTCTCGACGGAAAACACGAAGAGGAGTTTCTTGTTGTTAATTTAATTTTTGTTAGATAAGAAAATATTATAAATTAACATTTTTAAATGTCAAATATATGGAAAGATACGCTTCAACAGAATTAATTAAAATAAAAAAACGGCGCCTAATCCTATTATTCAGGAAAACGTAAAATATATCTGTTTTTACTATTCAGTTGTTACGTTATAACCGTACTAATTAGGAAGTCTATAATCTTATATATAAAATTCTCGTGTCACAGTTTTCGTTCCCATACTCCTCCGAAACGGCTTGACCGATTCTCATGAAATTTTGTTAGCGTATTGAGTAGGTCTGAGAATCGGCCAACATCTATTTTTCATTCCCCTAAATGTGAGGGGTAGTCCATCCCTAAATTTTTTTTTATTTTTTAGACAAAATTTTTAGTTTCTTTTTTTTTATGATACAACATACAAAAATACATACAATCCTAAATTTTCACCCTTCTATCATCAACCCCTATTTTTTATAGCGTTATTAATTTATATGGCAAAACAGCGTTTGCCGGGACAGCTAGTTGTTATTTATGTATATATATATATATATATGTGTTAGTTCTTATATTATTATAACAATAGTGTGGGCGATAGTATGGACGGACTGCATGCGTGATATAAATCAAACATTGCAGAGAAAATGGTAAATACTTATAATGAAGGGAAATGTGACAATAAAAATATGGCAATTCTAAAGAAAATACATTTAAAATTTTTTTTACGGTTTTGTATTTTATGTTGGGCTAAAAACGACTTGTATCCAGAGCCGTAAAATATTAAATAAAAAAAAATACATTTAAAATTGATATAAAATTAAGTATATAAAAATGTGCAAAGAATCAATGATATCAGGGCATTAAGCCACGGCCTCTATGATCTAATGGTTTAGCTCACCTCCTTACTTCGCGGGTTCGATTCCTCGCACGACACAAACGTTTGTATCCATGAATATGTTATTATTTATGTCATTTTTGAAATGTACATATCATCATCGCAGCCCGGAAGACGTCCAATGATGGACATAGGCCTACCACAAAGATTTATATATATTTAAGTGTATTATCTAGAGCAAGCCGAGAAATTCAAATATTTAAAATACATCAGTGCGAAGTCGAGGCAGGTCGTTTTTTAACAATACAACTATAAATACGGGAGACAAAGGTACAGAAGTATAAAATCTACAATGGTGAACTTCATTCCTCTAATTGAATTTTTTTTTCAGGCTTATCCCCCGGTGGTGGCATCGAATGGAGTAGCTCCGAGCGATCACCGGCTCCAGCACCACCCAACCTCGAGGTGGATGCCGCTGAACTAGTCCGTGATGCCCCCCTCTATCCCCCACTTCAAGACACACCCGAGGACCTTTACGAAGGTCCAGACAAAAGTGAACTTTCCTACAACGACTTAGAAACCAGTATAGAAGAGAATAGATTACTTGTTACACCTGAAGATTTGGGTAATATTGAGACTGATGACGAAACTAAGGTACAAAGTGGGGGGGAGGTAGATGTTGCAATAGGTAGTGGTAGTGAGGAGAGAACAAAGAGGAGTAGTGGACAGGAGTGGGAGAGATCTTCAAAGGTAAGTAATTAAAACTCTTTACTATCAAAACAAATTATTTGCCGATTCGGCCTTTGTAAAAAGTCGTCTGCGTGAGTACCTAAATCTCATTTATTTCAGCCCCAAGCAGCTTGCTTTGTAAGCTGTGTTTCGGTTTAATGGTGAGATGAGACAGTAAAATTACAGGATAAAAGGCATGAAATCTTAGATAATACGGCTCGCTTGCTTCCTTCTTTTTCCTCTAGGACGTTTCATTTCCTCCAGATATGTACGAATTAACTTAAACTGGGCTTACATTGTCAAGTTGTTGTAGATGTCTGGAGATATCATTATAATTAATTCAGTACATTAGGTTACAAAAATATTATCACAAAAATGAATATTTTTTTTAAATAATATGAAATACCCTGACGACTTTGGAAAAAAAATACTATCATGATTATTTTGTTTTGTTTATTCTTTTTGGGATTTCCGTGAACTAAATGTAATGATGACAGTCCCATCGTACCTATTTCTAGATAGCAGAAAGAACAATCAACTTACATAAATGGGATACTAACTATAACTAGGCTGCATCGGAAGTTGGCATTGCCAATATTCCATGGAATATATTAATGTCTAACATATTTAACTTCAGTGCTTGGAAGATATAGAAGCCCAGTTTAAGAAAAATATTTGTTAATTTTACCTAAATGCCGTCTACACAAAGTTAGTAATTCATTTTATGGTAATTGCGTAAGATTTTATAATAAATTGCCAGAATCTACGCTAAATCTGACAGAGAGGCAATTCAAATTTTATATTAAACAAATGTTATGTAAAAAAGCCTATTATAGGATAGATGAATTTATAGATGATAGCAATATATAGCAAGTATAAGTTTATTTGCGGACAACGTTATAATTTATTTTTCATACTGCTTTCTTGATATATGACAGCGTAGCGGCTTTTGTATTGATTGCCGCATGCATCCTCATGTAAAGTGCGAATACTGTAACTACCATATAGTAATTTTTGTAGCTGTGACGTGGTCGAGTGGAATGAGTAGTCATGCTCACTAAATGTCCAGACATGTGGCGGCGTGGTGGGCCGGGTCATTGGGCTCCCTAAAATATGGTCGAGCGCAGTGATGACTGGCTCATCCGTCATACTCGTGAACGAGTGCTGCTTGAAGGGACTGGTCTGCTCGTATGACTAGACTGATTTAATCTTATTGTGTTTTTATATTTGAGCCTAAATAAATTAGTGCTGGTTGATAGTTTGTATTCACACGTTTCGACTTGTAAAATGTGAACTTACAAGGATTGTTTAAAAGAGCAACACACAAGTTTCTTGCTTATTCTTCTTGTGATGAGACAGCTTTCCGAATAAGCGGTAGATTAAAAAAAATTGTTGACAATTCAAAAGTGCTTAAATTAAGTTTATTTGAATAAATGATTTTCTATTCATATGTATATGTTTCATGTTTTTTTAATGACAGCCAAGCAATAATCGCCGTGTAAAAACTGGTGATACAATACTCAACATACGAGGGGCGGTCCGGGATGCCATTGGTGATGCTGGTGCAGCACCAGGTCCTCGTGCATCATCCAGGGTTGATACCTTCGTCATAAGACCAGCACAGGAGCATGCACATCGGATGCCAGTCCACGATCAACCTCGAGCCCAACCGTCCATAAGTCAGGTATAAATTTAGTCTCAACTTTGTTTTATGTGATCGGAATGACAAAAAAGCTGACGGTCCATTTGATGGTAAACAGTACCAGCTGTAGATCACCATACCACACCACACCACACCATATTAGCACAGGCAGGCAGGAAATAAAGTAGCATATGTAATCTGCTATCAAAATATATGAAACAATAATACGTATATGCTTTTTCCTAACAAATGTTATGTTTTGGGATACAAATTTTACACACATTTTTTCTTTATTTTTCAGACCTTCAGTTTTTTAATAAAATTGTTTTCTTTTATAGATTGCTATATTTCTATATATCATGACATTATAAAACAAGGATCATTAAATAATTTCTATATCTAATAAAGGACTTAATATTTTAGGTACCGAAGAATGAACGAGATATATTAGTAGAAGCACACTCACGGGCACGTATACCGTGCGATCTGATTAACATTACTAACCTTCGATGGTATAAGGACAATGAGGTGAGCATACAAACAGATACAAATAATTTTGTTGTACATAACTGGAATCGCTAACTCGTCGTTGGATGGAAAGCAGCAAAAACTTCATTCATTGGTTGCCCTTGCCACTGCCGTACGGCAACCCAGTATACATCATATCCCCCCTCCATCCGATTCGACGAAATTACGACGTCCTGAGCCGAGATTAGAACCCCAGTTAAAAATGATTGTAATTCAAATTTTGTTATAGACAATAAGATGAGTATGAGTTCGTATGAGTTCAGGTTAGTTACCCAATCGTGGCAAATTCACCAGGAATTTATATTATTACAATAGTTTCTAGGAGGTATCGCGTAAATATCAAGCTGACATGGTAATGATCCCCTTCCCCCGAAATTGAAATATTAAGATATCTTAAAATTCTTAGCAAATGAACGTGCCATCATCATCTGGTAATGGAGGTGGTGAAGCTATGTGGAAAGATGGAGAAACTCTCGTAGTGGGGAGAGCGACACGTGGTGATTCTGGCGCTTGGAGATGTGCAGGAGTTGACAAAGCAGGGAAAACAATATCCGGGAAACCTACGCGATTACTTATTTACGGTATGAGATATTCTTGCTATTATACAATGATAATACTAGTAACTCTGTTACTTGGATTGAGACTAAATGACGCTTCATTTAGTCTCAATCCAAGCATAATTTTTCTCATTTGAATCTATATGATGAACTTTTCGTTCATAAGCGGCTAAAATGTGCTACATGAATAAATTTTTTATTTGATTTGATTTAATAATCCATTCTCTCATGCATGTTAAAGAAATTGCAAAAGCTGTTGAATTTTAGACATAACAAATAAATTTATTATTTTAGAAAATATAAGTTTAAGTAACTACAATAGAGATTATTTTTAAAACAGAGCCCGTCCGGTCTGTCTATCTGGCAGTCGATGGTAGAAGATTAGATGCTGGCAATACTTGGGTGCCTGTCAGAGACAAGACTGTTCTAGAAGTGAGATGCGTCGCTGAAGGTGAGAGAAGAGAAATTATTAATGCATTATTTATTAATATATCTGTTTTTATTGTTTTGTTGTAATATGAAGGGTCAGCTATAACAGTAAAACTAGCTAAAGCATGATAGACTCTGAAGGCATGAAACCTTAGTCCTTCATAATGACAAATTTTACGTGCAGTTAAAACACTAGCAGTACTTTTTCTTAACATAAGATTTAATTAATTTAATTTGTTACAATTGGCATTTGTTTACTTCTACAATCTATGATTACTCATGTAAAAATTCTGTATGTATGGTTTTGTATCTTTGTCTTTCCACTTGTAGATAAAATATATTAGTACTAATATAAAACTGTGTAGGGACAATATAGCGTTCTGCCAAGCGGTTGAGCCTTGAGTCGAATACTATCCAACCTGACAACTTTGAATTTAATTCTCATCCAATATCTGCTCACTTATTATCAAATAGCTATCAAAATATCTCTATCACGCACTTGACTCAACACCGACATGTCAGCTTGACTATCCCAACCATCCACATCCCTATTTGTTAAAATCGGTCACATCATGCGTAGGTCATTTTATGTTTTATCTATTACAAATTACTGATTGTTTTATTTATATTGGCTAGGCGGAGTACCGCCGCCTGATCTCTCATGGAGGCTGCTAGCTTTAGAGCCAACGTTGGATCACCGTCCGTATCTACGAATATATCACACAAATTATTCAATAGGTCAGTACTGTGTATTTGTATGTGATTATTGGTATTCTATTTATAATAAAACAATTACAATAATTGTCGCATGTTAGTAAATTTTTTTATTTCTAATTGTACTGTCATTTATTTAATGAGCATCTTACCACTCTTAATGGACAATGTTGAAGCAGATGTTGAGGTTTTGTTTCTTCCGTTTATTTGTTCATGTTGTTTCATTTTTAGTAGGTATTGTTAATGACAGTGTTAGTATTTTATTAAATAAAATATTTTTGTGTACAGTTAAATAATTAAAATATTTTTTTCCAAACAGAGGGTATGTCTTCATCTCACGTCGTAGTAACCGCAGCTAGGGAGTTGCATAATGCAACATTACAATGCGAAGCCCGACAGAGAAGTCCAATATTATCTGTTGCCTCAATACCAGCAAATCCCACGCCAGCATCAGATCCTATAACCGCTAAATTAGAAATACATGTAACTTGTAAGTGTTCAGAAAAATTATTATTTATTAATATTAACTTTAAAAGTTAAGGTTGTACATGTGTACCCTGAGGTATACCAACGTTTTTATCAGAAGTTGTTGATAATTTGTTCACTTTTACAAAAAAAATATGGTCTTAGTAGCAAGCTTCAGATACGTGTTTGCATTAAATTCTTCATGTGGTGATTGAGAAAGAATATTCATTATAGCTTTATTATCCTTAAAATTTCTTTTAATAAAAGAAAATGCACTAGTTTTTTTTCTAAATGGTATTTCAAGCTTTTCTTACACGATTTGTGCTTTTGTCATCTAGTGTATTCTTACAACATCTGGGGTTGTTACATTGTCATCACTCTATGGTTTATAGATAGATGATAAATATTTTTTCCCGTAGATCCTCCATCTTTTGTTATATCACGATGGCCCGGATTTGGTATATCCTTATCCGCTGGAGGTGCTGCTGCTTTGCGATGTGATGTTGATGCCAATCCACCTGCTAGAGCTTGGTGGTTGCGAGATGATGCTGATCCTACAAGGTAATAATCGTTATTGTTTAGTCTTGGTTACATTTTTTTAACATTACCAAACACTACAATAATAACATGTACAGTGCACACAGTGCCTTCTACTTCAAAATTAAGCAGAGCTTGTATTATAGGAACGAGATATTTTTATAACATTCTAATTTAACATTGTAATTTAAAAATAACCATTCTACATAATATGACGTGCTGAATTTAACTTGGTGGTCTTGCGGTTTAGCTCACCGCATTACTTTCTTGGTGGTTTCCGAAGGGTGCAAACATTTGTATTCAAGAGTATGATTGTTTGCATCGGTCTGAGTGTTTTCTACGAACATTATTTATGTATTTACAAAAATATGTATCTAAGCATTTATCTCAGTTATCTAGTACCTATAAAACAAGATCTACTTAGCTTGGGACTAGACGGTGCTGTGTATTGTTCTAAGTTATTATTAGCACCAGGTGGTCTGTCAGTTCATTTGTCATTCCAATTACAATTACATAAACTGTGTGTATTTATATTTACATATACATCTAATTAACTAAGTAATTTTATTCTTCTTTGGAATAGTTCTCCACCACCGTTAGAAGCTGGCGACGAGACAGCCCGTGGTTCAGCCACACTTCGATGGGCGACATTACGTGCAACCCATGCTGGATGGTATCGCTGTCGGGCCACTTGGCTTGATGCTGAATACTCATCTATAGGATATTATCTAAATGTTTTAGGTGAGTATCATTACATTAATACGTAAAGGAAAAACTTTGTTCCTCTTTTAACGAAAATTACGCGGATAGGTGAGTATGAAATTTCGCACACTTTTACCTTATATAGTGAAGGAGTGCTAAATATTATTAATTTACACTTCGATCTTATAAACTACACAACGGATTATAAAACAATTTTCAGCAATAGATACGGAACCACTTACCACCAACTACTTACGGAATCACTTTACCCTGATCCACGATAGGTTAGTTTAAAGACATTATTTAAATAGGGCAAAATACAATAATAAATGTCAAGTAAGTATGATATAGGTGAAGTTGCGGGGGTATCAGCTAGTTAATTAATAATAATAATATCAATTATGTATTTGACACAGACAACTTTTCAAGATTTATTTAATCAGTATATACGTTTTGAATAGCAGCTGAAGAAAATATAGAAACAGCTACCGAACCTGATGCTGAGGCTGAGGAGCCTGACCATCAGAAGGTGGATGTTCCTCTTGGTGGAAATGTTCAACTGCACTGTCCTAAAGGTAAACATTTAACAAACAAACCAATTATAAATATATTAATTTAATCAATTTGTAACTTTGTTTTTTGTTATTTTGTATAATATTAATATCTACTAAGAAAATATCCGGACGATAAGAACAATCATACTCATGAATACAATTTTTTTTTACCGTGCATGCAATCGAACATGTGACCATCGGAAATATAGCGGTGTGCTAAATAGCTAGAACGCTGAGGCCGTCAATAGAAAATGCTGGGTACATTTTGTTTCTAATAATAATGATCATGTTTATTCAGGCAGTGTAGGGTGCTGGTGGAGACGAGTTGTGGGGAATTCAAGTGAAACGTGGGCACCAGCTGGCTCTCAACACGCTCACGGTGTCTTAGGTAAGTGTCAATGATAGTTAAGGTACTTGCAGATATCTTACTAATATTATAAATACGAAAGTTTGTAAGCATGGATGGATGTTTGTTACTCTTTCATGCAAAAACTACTAAACGGATTTTGATGAAACTTTACAGTCACACATAGGCTATAATTTAAAAAGATATTATGTAAATTGGGCGAAATATAATGATGCAGACGTAGTCGCGGGTCAGCTAGTTAATAAATAAATATATAATGCTGGTCAATTAACACAGCGTCATCTAGTCCCACGGTAAGCAGAGTTTGTGAGCAACACACAAGTTTCGTGCTCATTCTTCTTGTGATGAGTCTGCATTCCGAATGAGCGGTAGAATAAGAAAACTTGACTATTCAAAAGTGCTTATGTTAAGTTTATTTTAAAAAAGATTATTTCTATTTCTATTGCTGTGTTATGGGTACTAGACAACTGATATAAATTTTGCATATACATACATAATATACATAGAAAACACCCAGGCCTTTACAAAAAATCGTACTCACGAATTCAAAAGCGGGGTCCTATACCGATAGACCAGCGAAGGCAATATTATTTATTTTACACCATGACCGTGGCAAACTAGCAAACGGCCCATCTGCTGGTTACAACATTACATTAGGGGCATTACGTGCGCCTCTAAAAATTAAAGACTAACTTAGCATTCCATGGTTTCACCGTCTGGGTGAATCCATGGCAGAGAGAAATTCCGGGCAGTTCCGGAATTTTGACCCGGGTGTAGATTTAAGCGACCTTTGCCGACGTACGAGTACGTTAACACTTTCAGCTCTCGTATTTATCTCCCTGCCCAGCCATAGCTGGTAGGAGCCTGCTAATGCAGCTTTCGATACCCGAGGTACCACAGGCTTGCTATTTTCGAGGACTAAGATATTATGCCTAATCTTTAATTTTACTGCCATGTCTCTTATGACTAATTCAAAGTCTGTCTCTAGCGAAATTGTACGGATATTATATATTTTCCCATTTTCTCAGGTATAAAAGATGCTCTTTATCAAGAGGGAGGCGAGTACCGATGTGTCGGTACCCGTGCGCCTGACCTCAAGCGATTGCGTGAACTGAAAAGAGTTACTTTAAGAGTAACGGGTGAGTTACATAGAATATTATTATATAGATCTGCTTAAGAAATCCGACGTTTGAATAGGAATAGACAACTTACTATTTATATATCTGTTGTACTTGATTGGAGAAGGCAAGAAAATAAGAAAGAATAAAGAACAAAATTAAGAAAGTGCATGTAAGTTGTAATATGAACTTGATAAGAAACGTGTAACATGAATGAATTCAACGTGTATATAGGTGCTTGAATATTGAAAAACTATGGCCAGATACAAACTTTAATGAACTACCATTTATTTAATACACCAATTGTTAAAAAGTTTTGGTTGACAAATCCAAGTAGATGACTATAGCGATTAAATTTGCGATATTTTAAAGATGTATATTACATTAGTAATTTGAGGATTAATGAGTGATGTTTAAAAGTAATAAAATGAATCAAAAATTCAGTACATCAAGATATTATAGACCAATAATGTTTTCCTCTACTTAACGGTAATAAAGCATGAGATTACAATAATAATATATTAAATGAAAAATTAACAAATAGCAATAATTCATTAAATGTAATTGAAAACAATCTTGTAGATAATCACACATAACTAAAAGACAAGTTTGTAGTATGAATGTTAATTTCAATCTCTTTGCCCAACAGTTTAAAGACAATACACAATTGGAAACTTTTTAAGTACAGGTTTCTGCTGGAACAATATTTTTTATAGTGTTGATGTATAATTTCAAACACAATGTAAATTGTTACTTAATAATATAAATAAAAAATATATATATATATTACAAAGATTTATCTTGTCATGTAGGTGGGGCGACTGCAACAGCCTTAAGTGCAGAGCCAGCAGCAGGAGGCTGGCGTCTCGAATGTGGTGCTTGCGGTAGAGGAGTTCGTGTAATTTGGCTCCGAGCAGGTATCGCAACTCGCGCATCCCTCAATCCAGATCTAGCCCAACACTGCTGGAGAGCAGTCCTGCACGTCGCAGAACCTGATGAGGTTTGGTGCGTAGCTGCAACCACTGGAGCAGGTGCTGTTGCTGTGTTTCCTCGTCGAGCACCGCTCCCATCACCTGCTCCAGCAAGGCACACAGTCCGTGCATTGCACGATGATGCAGTATCACTTCACCCTCAGTTACTCCTACTTCTATCTGCGCTATTACTTCGTTGAGAACTCACGTCTTTGACAGTGGTTTTAATCGAGAATATTATAGGTGAGTCGAATTCGCATTTCTCAGAACAACGATTGATATCGAATTCCTATTATCTGTTGAATGAGACACGTTATCATTCAATATAAAGAGGATCTTTTATATTCTTTTAACTTTTCCTCCATTGTTGATCCCTGTGTCACCTTCAAATGTTTTATTAATGAATTCTATAAAAAGCAAAGTATAAAATATCATCCTCTTTATATTATTTGATGTATTTTCTTACTAATCAAGTGTCTGATAAATATCTGTCGGATAGACGTTATATTATTAATATATTAAGACAGCCTGCTGTCTATACTTTAGACTTCGTAGTACTCTACCGTAATTTGTTATACTAGTGTACCTACTTATCTCTTAATATTGCGGTGTTCGTTGCGATATTACCAATGCTGATTCAGTATTAATAGTATGTAAACCGCCATTTATATTTATAATAATATTATTAATAAGAAATGTAATACAGTAATATTAATGAATACGACTATAAAAGTGTAACTTAATATTAGAACATTGAAATTGTTTCCAAATAATGTAACAATGTTTCATTCAAATAATACCTTGTTTGTTTATGTATAAGTCTTCTTTTATTTACAATTTTGTTTAATATTATTGTAATTTCAATATAAAAATCGCAGCGAACATATTTTCCTGTCCTTCTATTTATTTCCCTAATATTCCAATTTCCTTGTTATTTATTTTATAGTGAATATTTAAGAAAACAGGAAGCGATCGTGCCAAATTGTTGATATTTTAAAATAGATTTTTATTATATTGGATTAAAATATGATTTTAAGTTTATAGCGTATTGATATGTGAAGATTTGTGTAATGTGAACACCAATTGAAATTTAGTATTATATGATAAAAATGTAAGTTTGGATGGGTCTAATGCTAGTGTTACAGCCAACCCATCACGGTATTTACATTTTAATGATTGAGAAACAGTTAAATTTAATATTAACTATAAAAACCCTAAATGTATTGGAGACGATTAAGTAAATGATGTCGTTGTTAAATATAAATACCGTGATTAAAATCCAAACTAAGCATATATTTTATATATAGATGTCAAATTCTTAATAAATAAATAAATATAAACATTATGTATCATAGCTTAAACTGAATCATGTAAATTTCGATGTCAATTTTAGATGCCCGTTTAGATCGGGCGAAGTTTTGTATGAATGACATTTGCTACCACAATTTTTGCAACAATCTTTTTAGTGCATAAGTGTAAATTTTATCTCATGTTTGATGTTAAAATGTTATCGGTGGTTAGTTTTCTATTAGATTGCGTTTTTATTTACTTTATCACCATGTCCTTTAACATCATCTTATATTTTCTGTAGTTTTATATTAGAAGTGTAAAGTTGTGCGTTTCCATAAATCAGTTAATTATATTTGTTACTTTAAATGCATACATGACTAAAAATTAAGAAATAAATAACCTTTTAAAGGTCGCAGATAAAATGATTGACAAAATTAATCCAACGCTTTCCTTTGTTACTATTATTAAACATTTCATATATATAAATTATTTTACAGTTGCAAACTAAAACGAGAATATAATAAAAAATATTATACCATGATTGATGGAAACGCACGAGTACGAGTCGTTGTTGTTGTTAAGAATTGTGATAACAGAAGAGGCGCGGGAGCGTCGCGGGCCGAGAGTTTATCATGAGAATTTAACCATAAATCGTTAGTTTAATTAGATGGTAGTGAGATGTATTTTTGTATATCTAAACGTATGGTCAATTGTACAATGATTTTTCGAAAAAGTGTATATTGATACAAAGTTTTGTTTAAGTACCTGGATATGTGGAAGTAATAATCCGTCCAATGCGGAATTCGTAGATAGATAAGGAGCTACGTAGATCCCTCTGACTACCGGCGTTTTCATTCTCCATCATTCCTATGGATTTCATCAAATCACATTAGATAAAAAACCTCTAGCATTCCTCTTTTTAATATACCTTTTATAATTTTCTAAATCCTATAGTAATGTATTTTTTTAATTTCAAACATTAACATTTTTAGAAATATCTTAGAATTTCCAAAACTTCCCTTAGGTACGTCATCAAAATACATTATTAGAATTGTATTAGAAATCCCAATAACGAGATCTTTTTATACTAACAATGCTATACTATCACTTCCTTCTTATAGTTATTTATTTTGAGTATTCTTCATGTTTACTTCTTCAATTTGTCTGAATATTTGGAGCCTTTGCTCACGAGTATATTACGCCGTCGTGTGTGATCACTATACCTTACAACAATTATTGTTCCACTTTCTTTTTCTTTCTAAGTATTTTTCGTAGAAACTTCTAAATTAAGTTCTTCTTCTAAATTCTTAGTACATCTATCGTATTCTTCTACTTTATTATTGAAATTCGAACGTAGTTTACATTGCAATTTGGAATTTGTACCAGTAATTAAATTAAATAATACATTTTTGAATCTATTTATTATATTAAATGTGTGTGTACAGGGTTGTTTGCCCAAATATTCACTACATTAGCACAGTGTAAGTAAAAATAATAGAAAATGTTCTAATCATATATAACACAATATTATTATAATATATCCGCCTTTTTGTACAATATTTAAATGAATAAACTTCTTCTGTACTAGTTTGGAGTTCAGATAAATTTCTTTTTAATTTCTTCAATCTTTTATAACAGTATTTATTCTATTTGCTTTCCTTTCATATATAGTTGATATTTCTTTTGTTTTTGCTTACACTGTGATTGAAAGCTCCGCGGCCCCCGCACCTCCTTTAAATTTAATTGAACGATATAATACCATTCGTGTTTCATAATCAATATGTTTGCCATTATTATCGTTTTTTCTTCATTAAAAACTATAAAGTTCTCAATTTTACTGTCTTTTTATGGTTATAATAACTATTCCAATTCTAAACCAATCGAAATTATTTTATTATTATCTGAATAGTTTACTTTTGTATTGATTTTATGTCTACCAAATCTAACAGGTCTGAAGTCTATTTCTGGATGAAGTTTTGAACTGTTTAAACCTGTAAAATATTCATAAATTTATATCAAATTATAGACTAACATAACTTACTTTAAATTTACAAAATTTAACTTGTCATTAATGAGTATTATTTTTTAATTAATTCCAATATTTGATACCAGTGACATATGAAAAGTCGATTCTAAAATTCAATTTGTCACCTTCGGTAGATGAATATTTAATAGTACAAGGTGTACAGTAAAGCAAATACATTTTCATCAATTCAGTAAATAAAGCACCTGAAATGAAAATAACAAATGTCTACAACAACCCCTCAAAAATACTATGAATAAGTAATCAGTGTTGAAAGATTATATGTGGTCATAACTTTACAATAGAAATAATTGTTCTTTCAACTCTTTTTGAGAAATTAAATAGAAAACGATAATTTAAGTGACTCTTTGTAACGTCCTTACTAATATTATAAACGCGAAAGTTTGTACGTATGGATGTTTGTTACTCTTTCACGCAAAAATTACTGAATAGATTTCAATTATGCTTTGCCATAATATAGCTTCTAAATTAAAATAAAACGTAGGCTCTAAATTATGAGGATATTGAGTGAATAATCCAAAATATAACAATATGTCAAGTAACTAGGAAAAAAATCATCCATCTGCGAGCTATTCTGTCGTGCGTCTGTTACGCCTTTACGACTAAACCGCAGAACCAATTTTAATGAATTTTGGTATAAAGATAGATAGGCCACTATATAAGAAAATAAGTCGCAGCTAGTACTATAAAATTCATTAATATCGTCTTTATTATCTGTTGCAACATTTAATATATTTGTTCGGGTAATTATTACAACTCAATTAGTTGTACTGAAATTTTGTATACAAGTATAATTTGGTTTTCAAACAATTTTATTAATCAAATTACCGTCCAATTCGTCTACATACTTCAATTGAAAAGAGTTAGTAATAAACTCAACTATTACATTTTTCTGTTGTAAATTAACAGCCCTATTTTTAAACTTACGTATTTCGTACATTTTATAGACATTGTTACATTGAGAGAGGTTTATCTTGATTTACCACAATATTATTTATGTTAAAACCCGTTTATTTGACTTTATTAGTTTTTGTTTTTTTAATTCGCGAGTCAAATACTAGGCAAACATATTGATTGCGTAATGCTAAATATATTCAATTGTAAATCACTTGGTAAGTTTTGTAGCGTCCATATCGACACTACTGTGTCGCATCTCGGTGCCAAATACATAATTTAATAGATCATAATATATATATATTTACATTTATTAATATACATTATTGTTTACTTTGATATTGAATGTACAGAAACCATATATTCATTCAACATGTGTTTATGGAAACTCGTATACCAAATAAACGATATAAAAATATCTGGACTTTACATTTGTGAATCTACGATGCTTTAATTTTATGTTTCTCATGAAATGTATGGATATTAGAGAATGGACCTTAAGTTGCCTGAATGTAGGGTAGGTTTTAGCTAATCGGGTAGTGTTTTAATAAAATTAATTCCGCTGCGAGTGCGTAAAAGACCAACGAAGCGTAGCATCGAAGCAAAGACCCTCAGATGGAGGGAAATTTATAACAAGATAATATACGCTATGTACATTTAATAGAGGATTCAATATTAAATCTTTAATAACGCACTGGCCCGTTATTACAACAATACCTACTGTAATGTAATGTTACAATTTAAACAAGTCTAATATAGATTTATATATAAATGCTACAATATTAGATTAAAAAATACTATATATATATTTTTCTGTGATTGGAGAAATGGGCACCAATGATTATACGTTAAGTGGACTGTGGATGCTGGTTATAAGTAGTGAAGGACCATCGAAGCAAGGATTTCAGGAAGAAGCAAGGAAAGCACAGCACATACCTGTGTTCACGTAGGGCTGGAGTCCTGGACAACTGCATGAACACTGAATTATACACTGTAGAACCTTGTATTACAGTTTCAGAGCGTTAATATATAAAAAATAGTAAATTTATTGGCGTAGCGGTCGGATAAGATGTCACCATGATTTTGAATTTCAATAGAAATGCCGTGTTACCGTATATGCGTCATTCAAATTGCCGTCCTTTCTTTATTTCCAAGTGCTATAAGTGGGAAAGGATAGGATATAGGGAAATCGAAGAGAGTACGAATAATGAATGAATGAATTTTTTCGGACTACTCTAATGCTTTACAGCCTTTACAGCTTCTCTGGATGATAAGGGGCGAGTGCAGGTGCGACTTTAAACCAAAGAACGGACTTATGGAGCGGCTGAAGAATAATTCCCGCCTGACGGATAGGGTCGAACCTTGGCTCATGGCAGTCGTAATATCGATCCCCGTCTGAATTGGACGGGGAATAGATCAAAGGACTTGGATGGGAGATCGATGGGAGGGGATTTAAAATGGCATGAACAGTGACAATGAATTTGTATTCGTGCCCAAGCAGTTAGTATGTGATACTAAAACACCAGTGGATGATTAAGTCAGGTCAATTAGATGTGAGTTCAAATCCTGCCCTAAAGACAGTTTTTCTAATAGTGCTTAAATAATTTTGAATCACTTACTTATCCATACACTAATTTAGAAGAAGTGTCTAAATAGTTAAGAAGTGCATATGTAAATATTTCTGTAATTCAATTTGAGTAAGTATAAAGATGACCTTAAACCAATAATAACAAGATATAATAAAGAACCAGAGCAACGAACGAAAAATATTTAAATAAAAAAAAATGACCAATTCTCCAAACTAAATGCATGTACATTTTTTTTAATAAAAGGGAAGAGAACGATTGGTCGATGATATCCTCATACATACCATCAACTAATCGTCGTCTGTAGATACATATGAACACCACTACAAAATGTTACGATGCCGTATAATATCGGGGATTTTCTCATGCGTTGCAATGATGAAGGACTTGTAATTTTATTGCCTATCCCTTTAACCGAAGCCTAGCTTTCGTGACTTTGAATCTGGCAAATACATGCTACAACCAAAAATATTGAGTATATTACTAACATTATAAACGCGAAAGTTTGTGAATATGAATGGATGTTTGTTACTGTTACTCTTTCGACCAAAAACTATTGAATGGATTTTAATAAAACTTTACAATAATATAGTTTATACACCAGAATAATACAGGCTATACCGCGGACACAGCTAGTCTGTCTATATGCTATATTTTAGACAAAATCCTGGAAGATTTCTCTAAACCATTAATTACGCATATAATAGCGTGTTATTACAAAAATCGCTGACCCCTTAAAACCATTTCACGAAGCACCATATAATTTTGTACAAATAATTTCGCCTGTCGCCGCAATTTCAACGACCAATCGAGGGAAAAATTTGAAGATTGGACTTTCGATCAAATATAAAATTCAAGGCGAAATATTCCGCGGAATCCTTTCTGTTGAGTCGAGACCTTGGCGTTGACAGTCTGCAAATTTCCCCCGTTGTTATTCAAGCGTGCTTAATGTATATTTTTTAAGTAACTGTAATGGTAGACAAGCTGACAGGCCACCTGATGGAAAATGGCACCCGTCGTCTACAGGAAATGAGTTTGTGATGTGTGTGGTACCTATCATACGTATTTTTTTAATGTATAATAATGAAAAGGTGCATCCGACTACGATAACAGTTTACACAAGGCAAGGAACCAGTAGAGGATAATAAGATGAATTAGAGATCATCAGTCAGCCCATCGATGAAAACTCAGAAACTAATGATGGAATTTTAATTATATTTTGTTTGATCCTTATTAGTCTAGTTTTAGTTTTAAACGGCATCATCTAGCCCTAAGCTGAGCAGAGCTTGTGTTAAAGATGTTAGACAAGTGAAATAAGTTTAAACACTTCATTTACTTAATGGATTTATATTATTTTGTTTGATTCTACTAGCTTGTGTGAACCAGACTATGATTAATCGCAAATAGTTAATACTAGGCTTCCGAACTATATCTGAACTCTATTCATTTCCTGATGATGCCTTGTTTAACACGTGTTGCAATATGGGTGTAGGTCCAATAACGGATGGAATTTCATCACTAACAAGGGAAGGTTACAACGCTCTCAGTAGCGGTGATCATATCTCCGCACTGAATATTTGTAGTCTCTCACATACTAATATTTATTTATTATATTTTATTATTTTCACTTTATGTTATTATTTTACTAATATTAGGTTATACGAATGTTGTAATAAACAGGACCATTATTGCCTTGATTAAAAATTATTATTATTATAGGATATTCTGTAAAATTCATACACAAAATTTGGCAACATAGTCTAAACTTTATTTTGGCTAATCTTCGCATGTAAAAAATTGCATCAGAGGTTTAGTAACGCCTAGACAAACAGGACAAAATGAATGTATCATTTTTGTATTTGAAGATATAGAAGGTTCTAAAGTCATGAACACAATGTGTTAACTTAGTCTTAACTCATGAGAACTAAATTGGATACAAGATGGTACGTGACTGGTGAATCGCATCTGGTATGAATTTGACCTTAGCTATACATAGGGTTGTCAACTCAAGGACTTTGGCAATAAACGTACGTGAGCGTTTTGGTTATATATTTACTACTAACTATGCGGTGAGTTACAAATCTTTGAATTTCGTAAATCTAATGATTTGCGAAAAGACGAGAAATTCCAAAATTTAATGATCTCTAGAATTTTAAAAGATCTTAGCCTGTATAGAAATGCAGTAAGTTCTATACTAGAAAGTAGCGCTAGGTCCAACTAGATTTAACGTTCCAAATATTAGAATTTCTCGTCCTTTCGCAAATCATTCGATTTTTGAAAAGACGAGAAATTCCAAGATTCAAATCTCTACAATCTTCTAAAAGATCTTGGCCTATCTAGAACTGCAGTAAGTTCTATACTAGAATGTGTATCTAAAGTAGCGCTATCTCCTACCAGATTTGACGTTACAAATCTTAGAATTTCTCGTCCGTTCGCAAATCATTCGATTTTCGAAAAGACGAGAAATTCCAAGATTCAAAGATCTCTCTTCAATCTTCTAAAAGATCTTGGCCTGTCTAGAACTGCAGTAAGTTCTATACTAGAACGTGTATCTAAAGCAGCACTAGCAGGCTGCTACAAGACTTGGCTGGGCAGAGAGAGAAACACGAGCGGTGAAGGTAAATTGACGTACGCCGGCAGATTAGGATGGTATTTTAGTTTCTGGCATGCAGTACAATGGTGAAATTCAGCAGTTGGTATTAATCCGAACAATGCTTCGAGTAGATCTGAATATAGCTTACTTTGGAGAAATGAAGATCTTTGGGGGAGGCTTATGTCCATCAGAGGACGTCTTTCTGGCTGCGATGATGATGAATGCTTCCTTTGGCACTAGATGGAGCTGATATTAATAATAATAATAAATAACCTGCACAATCTAGTCCCACGGTAAGCAGAGCTTGTGTTATGGGTACTAGACAACTGACGTGAATACTTAGATATTTTTTTATGGAAATACATGCATACATAGAAAACACCCAGACAGACACAAACAATCAAACAAATGTTTGTACCGTGCGAGGAATCGAATCCGCGACCATCGGAAAATAAAACGGTGTGCTAAACTGCAAGACCAACGCGGCCGTCATTATTATTAATTATAACAGAAATATACAAACTTTAAACTTCTATTCTTCAATTCATAAGAAAAATAAGAGTTGATAGCCCTACAAAGGGCGTCGTATAGTAGTCACGTGACAAAGAGACCTTGGTAAGGGTACTATTTTATTTATAGGTCCTACGTTTTATACCCGTATGGACCGAAGTATTGAAAGCATTAATGTTTAGAGTGACATTGTGGTTTTGGGTTTGGTCGTTTTTATTTTGAAAGCTATAAAACGGTAATGAATTTATTACCTACTAGCTGTTTCTTGCGACTTCGTCCGCGTGAAATTTAACTTTTATTTATAATAATAAATAATAATCTCAGAACAATTCACACAGCGCCATCTAGACCTAAGTTAAGCTAGTTATAATTGGTGTTATGGATACTAGATAACTGATACAAACATACTATGTATGTATTTATGAAAAAAAATATCTATGTATTTTTTTTTCGTAAATACATTTTATGTTTTATCTATTTAGCTGCTTATGAAAGTAAGCGGCTAAAATGTCATATATGAATAAATTTCGATTTGATTTGATGTGATACAGCACTTGACATGCTGACATTTCGCCATTTTGCTGAGTACATTTGGTCTAAAGAGTCAAGGGGTTTTTTTCTTATGGATGATAAAGCAATGATGCACTGTGCACGCTGGCGGGACACCAGTGGAGGATGATAAGATGAGCACGAGGTCAGGTCAGTT